AGGCAGCAAATCACACTGCCACGTGTGTACCTATGCAACAATCTTGCATGTTCTTCACATGTACCCCAAAACCTAAAATGCAATAAAATAAATAAATGGAAAATAAAATAAAATCTAAATGTATTATTTAATTTTAGTTATCTAATTTTCTTCTATAAAATCTAAATGTATTAGATATTTAAAGTTAAAATCTAAATGTATTTGTTATATACATTATAATAATTTATATTATATTAGAAATTATATGTACTTATATGTATTTATATTTAAAATACATTTATATTTATATTTAAAATACATTTATATTTATATATTTATTAATATATATATTTGTTTATATATATTAATGTATTAGTTATATACATATACACACAGAGGTATATGTAAAATCTAAATGTATTTAGTTATGTATTATAAAATATTAAAATACCTATTTCTCCAGGGCGATTTTTAAAATACCCCAAATACATTTTGCCTTTTACCAATAACAGTGTTCTGTGAATGCTTCCCATGTTTTCTTAATTGGAAAATGCTATATTCCCTGTCCCACCCCAAAAAACCTCATGCTACACACCACGGCCAGCATCCACCACAGATAACTTCTTTCACCATTGCCAGCATTTTCCTGTTGTTCATTGTCTATGTAAAACAAAGGCACAAAAGGTAACTTTGACGTGGTTTTCTTGTTAAAATTGTCTAAATCATATGGATGTGGACCTTAGCTTCTTAACTACAAACTACTATTAAATATTTGGCAACACTTTTGTTTCAAACATCTCATTTCTGCAGACTCAAAAAAGTCCCTGAAGTGTCACACTGGACATCAGTATGTCAATTTCAATTAAGTGTCAATTTTTTCTGCATTTTTTTTTTGCTTCTGTTTAGAATAGAACAAATGTAGAAGAGAGAGGCAAAGAATCAGGTTCAAAAGCAACATAGATTTGAAAGAGAATAACGAACTTATAATGGTTCATTCTCCTTTCTTATTTCCAGCTTAGAAAGATCTTTCTATACTTGAATATGTACTTCTCGGAGATTAAAAAAAAAATTTCTACAGCCACTAGATGTCATTGTGATGTCATTCAAGTATGGATGGGCAATCATACATCTAATACAATCCAAAAGAAAGATTTATGCAAGACGAAAACAGGTGATATGTTATCATTATCTTGAAAATGGTGACGAAACACTTTCCTTATCAGGGAAAAAAGCTAAAGTTCCTATTATCTGCTGAAAAGATTCTCCTAGAATCTTGGGAAAACAATGCATTATGGTTATTTGACCTTGTTCTAGCTTTATTACCTCAGAAGGCCCTGTTCATTCTACAGCCGTGTTTTAATTCTGAAATTATTCAACTCCTATTGTTAAGTACCTAACTTTAAAGGGGAGGAAACAATGGATGTGTGAAAGCAGTTAAAGGCAAGTTTTCAGGTAAAGAGGAAAAGGGATAAGGTTAAAGAAGTCTTATATAATAGTACCTACTTTCTCTGTGAGTTAGAGTGAAGGTAGATCAATTTCTTTTTGCATGAGGGATGAAGCAGTGTGTAGCTGAATGGTAAAGAGTGATGAAGGTTTCAAGTACCTTTTGCAGGTAATGAAAGACTGTGATAGACTGAATTGTGTCCATAAAAAGTCCTCTCATCAGAAGGGTGGGGTCCTAATTTAATACGTTTGGGTCCTTATAAGAAGAGGAATAAACACCAGCGGTGCACACAGATAATGAAAAGGCCCTGTGTGGATGAAGAAGAAAAAGTGGTCATGGGAAAGCCAAGGTGAAAGGCCGCAGGGGAAACCAAACCTTCCAGCACCTTTATCTTAGATTTCCAGTCTCCAGAACTATGAGAAAATTAATTTTGGTATGTTAAACTCCCCAATATACTGTACTATTTATGGCAACCCTAGCAGACTAACAAAAACAGGTATATAACTAGGTTAATATAGGATTACTTGTGGGGTTAACATGGAAAATTTGTAATGATGCTTTGGCAAATGCTGGTAGTGGCCACCTCAATGTTTATTTATTCTCATCTTTTTCCTTGTGAGCAAATATATATTTGCATACACACACACACACACACGTGCGCGCACACACACACACACACACACACACACACACACACAGTCCTTATAGCTAACACTGGTTCTCAGCAAAAGTCTACTGAGACACTTCTGAAGCAGATTTGCTTTCTAAATACAGGTACTGTCACTTTTCTTCTGGTTACTTCCTTTATTTTTTCCTGACTGCTCTTTGTATGTGAGGTTGGACATGGCAAATTGCTCATGGCCTTGAAAGTACTCACTAGATAACCAGGATGATTAAAGCCAAATGAAAAGAATAGTGGACCAGAAAGAAGCTGAAAACATTAATGACGTAGTGGAACTACTCTTATTAAACAATAAACATTTTATTTGGGTAAGCCATTGTATTTGACTTATCTATTACATTCATTCAGCTACAATCTTTAGAGATGCCAACTTAATAGACAGATTTACCCAAGACTGATGTTTTGCCAGGCAATTATAGCAGAAAGGCTAGGGAAAGAAATGGAAGTAATTTGACAAGAAACTAATGCAAATCCAATCTAGTTTACATGGTTTAAAAAAAAATAGAAAAGAAAGTGTATAGAATAAGTTATATTTAATTGGGAAAATTAGCAGAAAAAAAGGACTTAATAAAGTTGGAGAATGGATGTGGAGGGAATAAGTAAAGAAAACAATAGGAAAAATAAAAGTGGTAATCAGAGTGACACATTAGAGTTTACATAATGAAACAGTTTCCTGTAGCAACACATTTCATAATATACCCAGAGGTAATAGTGGCTCAGTTAGAAGAAAGATAAAGGTCTTTATGGTTTATATGAAGGATGTTGTCATCTACATAGACAGTAATGACAGGCAAAAAAATGGAATAATATGAGTTAAAAAGGAAGACTCTAAGCTATATACTAAAAGCTTTAATGAAATCTGTAAATCATCAATATATGACAGTGTTGAAGAGTAGAGGACAGTGTAACTCTGACATGGATTGACAGTATGACATGGATTTTAAGAGGACAAATTTTATACAATACAGGAATAACAGGGAGTTAAGACAATATATGTCTTCCCAATCCGTTGGTACCGGAAAGTAGCTTCCACTTATCTTTCTAATTATCTTTAAAGCAAATATTTATCAAATGTTTATTAAACAAAGAATGATCACCTTCTCAATTCTTGCCCATATTTAATCCCCACACAGAAGCCTTCCAACTAACTGAAAGAATCTGATAAGTTCCTAAATTATTTTCCCATTTTCCTTAAAAAAAAAAAAAAAAAAGAGGAAGCTGACATTTTAGAATGGCAGGAGACCTTAGAAATTAAACCTGGCCTTCAACCATAGTGATGTGCCCCTACTTTAATGCAATTTTCACTTAAGCATCTTTCCCTTTGTAGGACCCACTTGATGAGAAATTCTTTCCTTCAGTAGAAATAACCATAGTCCCCATTTAGCCTCACAAAAGAACTTCTCTTCAAAGCTGCTTCCTTTTGAGGACATAGATTACCAGGTGTTCATTTCTAAAGTCAATTTCTGCCTCCTTAACTGACCCACCAGTGAGTATTTGCAGAAAATTTGGTCTAGATTCTAAACTCCCCTACTAAATAAACTTGGGGAGACATACCATTTCTTTGCCAAGACAAATTAAGCTTACCTGTCTCAATCTGTACCAACACCAACTTCAATTTCCAGTTGCTATGCCGCATCAGGTTACCTAACATATCATTTTAACCCTAATTTTGTAAAGTTTCTTTTTCAATGACTACCATTTTTCTTTTGAAATATGATTAAAGAAGATACTTGATGCAAAGATACTTATCTGTTTTCTTACCATAGTTCAGTAAATCCTACATAATCTGGCTCCAATCTACCTCTCCCATTCCTACTTGTACCACTTAGCTCTTAAGCTATCTGATACCCAGCCACATTGGCCCTCTTTATTTTCCTGACAAAGCAAATTTATTTCTCTTTCTTCTGCCTGCACTTCCTGATCTTCCCAGGTTTGGCTCCATTTTATCATGTGGATCTCACCTTAAATATTCCTGTTCAAGGAGACTCTTCATGACCACAATGGCAGTCAGCTGTTCTTTATGGTGTCATCAGTATTAGTTTTCTGCACTTCATTTATAACTACTTGTGCTAGGCAGAATCCTGGTCCTCCAAAGATGTTCACATCTTCATTCCCAGACCTGTGAATATGTTACCTTACATGTGAAAAGAGACTTTGTGTGTGACTGGGTTAAAGATCTGGAAATGGAGAAATAATCTTGGATTTTCCAGGTTGACTCAATGTAATCATTAGAATTCTTGTAAGAGAAAAGCAGGAGAATCAGTGGCATGGAGAAAACATATGATAATGAGGGCAGAAATTGGAGTGTTACACTTTGAAGATAAACAAACAAAGAGATCACAAGCCAAAGATGGGAGCAGAAGTTCAAGTGCTACAATTTGAAGATAAACAAAGAGACCACAAGCCAAAGAATAGAGGAAGTGTCTAGAAGGCAGAGAAGGCAAGGAAATTGATTGTCTCCTAGATCCTCCAGAGGAATCACAGTCCATCTAACACGTTGATTTCAGCCCAGTGAAACCAATGTCGAACTTCTGGTCTCCAGAACTGTAAAGTAATAAATTTGTGTTGTTTTAAGTCATTGGTTTGTGCAAATTATAGCAGCAGTAGAATACTAATACTCTACCTGATATTTTTCTTGTTTCATTTATTTATTTATCATCAATTTCCCCTACTAGAATGTAAACACCATAAAGACAAGAACCTTGTTTTTTATACTCACCACTTACATTCTTGGAGAAATATATAATAGGCACTGAATAAGTTGAATTGAGTGAATAATTGTTTATCATATGTAATTTTTGCATTTTCTCTGTCAAAGTTATTATTTCCCTAGACATCAAAACTTTATGCTTTCTGACTATGAAAAAAGAAATGTTTGGTAGAGATGAAAGTACATTGAACATTGTAATCTCAGTGTTGGAGGACAGTTATAACTTAGAATCTCCTGCACCAAAAATATGGTCCTTCTCATCCTGAGTTAGCACCTCATAAGAAGGACATGATCTACATTGATATTTGTAATTCTTTGCCAAGGCACATGCTGGTGGTTATTAATTGGATTATCTTGACCTTTGTGTAAACTATTAACCCCAGAGTTGATATAATTATTTTTAGAGCTATAAACAGCAAGAATGATGATGGAGTTGCCGTAACTTTATCTGGAGTTTATTGTTCTTTTTAAAAGTTTACATTAGGATTCACTCTTAGAGTTGTAAATCCTGTGGGTTTTGACAAATGTACAACAACATGTATGCACCATAAGTATCATAAAGAATAATTTCACTTCCCTAAAAATTACCTATGTTACATTTACCCCTTCCTCTCCCAAAATCCTGATAACCACCAGTCTTATTATTGTCTTCATAGTTTTGCTTTTTGCAGAAAAATATAACAAATATTTTAGATATATCACATTTTATTTATTCATTCATCAGCTGATTAATGGACTATTAAGTTTCCACTTTTTTATTATTATGGATATACCACATTTTATTCATTCATCAGCTGATTAATGGAGTATTGTTTCCACTTTTTTATTATTATGAATAATGCTGCTATGAGAATTTATGTTAAAGTGTTTGTGTGAGCATATATTATCATGTTTCTTGGTTTTATCCTAAAAGTGAACTGTCTGGTCGTAAAATAACTCTATGTTTAACATTTTCAGAGAATGCCAGACTACTGCACAAAATATATGCACCATTTTACACTCTCACTGGCAGTGTATAATAATTTTACTTTCTCCACATCCTTTACAACACTTGTTATTATCTGTCTTTTTGATTAAAGCTATCCTATTGGGTATAAAGTGGCATCTCAAAGTTTTATTTGTATTTTCCTGAGAGCTAAAAATGTTGACCATTTTTCATGTGCTTCTAGCCATTTGTATATTTTCTTTGGAGAAGTGTCTGTTCAGATTCTTTGCCCATTTGAGTTACCTATATTATTGAATTTTAAAAGTTATTTATATATTCTGGATACATGTCCTTAATAGACATATAGGATTTAAAAATATTTTAGGTATGGATAATGACGCTTAAGCAAAATGGATCTGACACGTTTCTATATTACCAAGTGTATTAGTCCATTTTTATACCATTGATAGAGATTCTTAAGACTGGACAATTTACAAAAGAAAGAGGTTTAATTTATTTATAGTTCCAAGTGGCTGGGGAGGCCTCATAATCATGGAGGAAGACAAGGAGGAATAAGTCACATCTTACATGGATGGCAGTAGGCAAAGAGAGAGCTTGTGCGGGTAACTCTGCCTTATGAAGCCAACAGATCTCATGAGACTTATTCACTGTCACAAGAATAGCACGGTTAAAAACCCACCCCCATTATTCGATTACCTCCCACTGGGTCCATTCCACAACATGAGGAAATTTAAGATGAAATTTGGATGGGGACACAGACAAACCATATCATTCTTCCCATGGCCCCTCCCAAATCTCATGTCCTCACATTTCAAAACCAATTATGCCTTCCCAACATTCCCCCAAGTCTTAACTTATTTCAGCATTAACTCAAAAGTCTGTGGTCCAAAGTCTCATCTGAGACAAAGCAAGTCCCTTCTGCCCATGAGCCTGTAAAATCAAAAGCAAGTTAGTTACTTCCTAGAGACAATGGGGGTACAGGCATGAAGTAAATACAGCCATTTCAAAGGTGAGAAATTGGCCAGAACAAAGGGGTTACAGGCCCCATGAAAGTCTGAAATCCAGAAGAGCACTCAAATCTTAAATCTCCAAGATGATCTCCTTTGACTCCATATCTCATATTCAGGTCACACTGATGCAAGAGGTAGGCTCCCATGATTTTAGGTAGCTCCACCCCTATGGCCTTGAAGAATATAGCCTCCCTCCCAGCTGCTTTCATGGGCTGGCATTGAGTGTGTATGGCTTTTCTAGGTCCACAGTGCAAACTGTCATTCAATCTACCATTCTGGGGTCTGGAAGACGGTGGCCTTCTTCTCATAGTTCCAGTAGGCAGTGCCCCAGTAGGGACTCTGTGTGAGGGCTCCAACCCCACATTTTCCTTCTGCACTGCCCTGGCAGAGGTTCTCCATTAGAGCCCTGTTCTCCTGCCACAAAATTCTGCCTGGGCATTCAGGCATTTCCATACACCCTCTGAAATGTAGGCGAAGGTTCCCAAATTCCAATTCTTGACTTCTGTGCACTGGCAGGCTCAACACCATATGGAAACTGTGAAGTCTTGAGGCTTGCACCCTCTGAAGCCATGGCAAAAGCTCTATGTTGGCCCCTTTCAGCCACGACTGGAGCATCTGGGACACAGGGTACCAAGTCCCTAGGCTGCTCACAGCACAGGGAACCTGGACCCCATCCACAAAACTTTTTCCTCCTAGGCCTCTGGGCCTGTGATGGGAGGGGCTGCTGTGAAGACCTCTGATATGCTCTGGAGATATTTTCCCCATTGTCTTGGGCATTAACATTTGGCTTCTCATTACTTATGCAAATTTGTGCAGCAAGCTTTAATTTCTCCGCATAAAATAGAATTTTCTATCACATTGTCAGGATGCAAAGTTTCCAAACTTCTGTGCTCTGCTTCCCTTATAAAACTGAAGGCCTTTAACAGCACCAAGTCACCTCTTGAATGCTTTGCTGCTTAGAAATTTCTTCTGCCAGATGCCCTAAATAATCTCTCTCAAGTTCAAAGTTCTGGAAATCTCTAGAGCATGGGCAAAATGCCTCCAGTCTCTTTGCTAAAACATAAGAAGAGACATCTTTGCTCCAGTTCTAAACAAGTTCCTCATTTCCATCTGAGACCACCTCAGCCTGGATTTCATTGTCCATATCATTATCAGCATGTTGGTTAAACCATTCAACAAGTTTCTAGGGAGTTCCAAACTTTCCCACAGTTTCCTGTCTTCTTCTGAGCCCTCCAAACTGTTCCAACCTCTGCCTGTTATCCAGTTCCAAATTTGCTTCCACATTTTCAGGTGTCTTTTCAGCAACACCCCACTCTACTAGTACAAATTTACTGTAATAGTCTGTTTTCATGTTGTTGATAAAGACATAGCTGAGACTGGTCAATTTACAAAAGAATGAGGTTTGTTGGACTGACAGTTCCACATGGCTGGGGAGGCCTGACAATTGTGGTGGAAGGTGAAAGGCATGCCTCACATGATGGCAGACAAGAGAAGAGAGCTTATGCAGGGAAATTTCCCTTTTTAAAACCATCAGGTCTTATGAGTCTTGTTCACTGTCATAACAGCACAAGAAAGACCACCCCTCATGATTCAAAGACTACCCCTCATGATTCATGGGTCCCTCCCACAACACATGGGAATTCAAGATGAAATCTGAGTGGGGACACAGCCAAACCATATCATTATGTTTGAATGTTAGGCTCTTAATTTACTAGTTCTGTGAATGGGGACATGTGATTTAACTTCCATAAGTGTCAACATTCTCCTTTAAAAAACTGAAGTAATGACAGACCCTTCATTTAATGATATCTTTAGCTTCATTTAATGATGTATTTAATTTTTTATTATTTTATTTAAATAATATTTATTCAGCACATACTAAGATTTGCCGTAACAATTTAGGGAAACTCGGGACAAATAAAGTAGCCAAAATGTCTGGTTTTGTAAGGTTATAATCTAGTGAGTGAATGCAAACAATAAATAATAAACTGAAAATATATATACAAGGAAAATGAAGATCTATGGAGAAAATTATGCAAAAATATCAGTACACCCACTGGAACATAATGAATACTCAATAAATATGACCAGCATATAATTATTATTATTTCTGTCAATAGACCTCTAAGCAATACTACTTCTGGAATGAAGGTATCAGGAGCTCTGCAAACCTCTCCACAGAAAACAAACATAACTGGTAAAAATTATTCTGTAATAATCATTTAAAGCTTCTGGAAAGTGTCATGAAGATATACAGCAAGTGAAGAAATAGTTATTCAAAAAAATCTACTAAATCATAGTAAGAAGAGTGAGAATCTGTGTAATTGAGACTGGACCAACTGCTTCCCTCCCAAATCCAAGCTCTGTGTTGACAAATACAATAGCTAAAATAAAACTGACTAGGGGGGCTCAACAGTAAGTCTGAAGAGGCAGAAAAGAGAATTTGA